TCGCCTTTTTACTTCTTGAGTACATCCGCCAAACAATGCGTTTATTCTGTACAACGTGCGTACATTCCAAGTGCAGATTCGCAGATCGTGGTCCTTTATACGTTTGCGGGGGTCGTCAACATTAGGGGGGTTTGGTTTTCTGTTTCTTTGCTTTTTCATAGTAGGTTGGGTTTTCCGAGAGTGGGCAACTAATCCGACGGCTCAACCCATTTTTTTATACTTCTTATGGGTGAACTCGCGGCACATATTAGCTCACTATTTCATTGGGTGATGAGAATAGCTCCCCAGGAGGCACCGCGGGAAGGTCAGTGTCCACAATTGAGATGAAAGAGGGACCAAGATAAGCCTGGACTTCGCCATCTTAAAGCCAATCAGAGCCGTTGCTTGGTATCTATCATCCCCTATGCCACCTACCTTAAGGCTTACATTTTTTGAATATTATTTTTTAAGACCTTCCTTAAGACGTGGATTTTTTATATATTATTTTTTAAGGCCTACCTTAGGGTTTGGATGTTTAGAATTAATTTTAAACGTCAACAATTAGGCTTGGATTTTATGAAATTATTTTTCAGGTTCTACCTTAAGGCTTGGATTTTTTCGGAAAAATTTTGTTAGGCATAATAAAGCCATAATCCTGTTGTTGTTTTTCCTGTAATCATTTTATTTTGCGTTTACGATGATTTGGTGATTTCTCACCAATTATCTGTTCCTTTGTGAGTGTGCTCTCTTAAAAAAATTTACATATCTATCTGCGGGATGATTGTGCCAAATTAATGAACAAACAAATCGAATTTTTTTATCGCCATGCCAAGAGCATCCCTCGCACGATGACGACCATTCACTGTGTGGAGCCTTGTGGTCTAAAAAGGTTCAGCACAAGCACAACCATTGGGATAATTTATGTGCATCTATTTAACAGCATTCGATGTCCAGGGTGTACTACGAGGAAGGATGGAGTGTTTCCTTTGGTTTAAAGGTCTGTGTGTGAGTGTGCGTGTGTGTTTGTTACAGTTTAAAAACGACAAACACGGTACTTTGTTAATCTTATCACCATGCAATGATCTATAAAAAGACAACAACAACAAAAACAACGTTGATGTTAAATACAAAACTGACAACCAGCGAATGGCCACCATTTCAAAGGAGCAACAAAATCGGAGATATGGAAAACGGGAGCAACCACTCACAACGCGCACTGTTGTCTATGCAAACAAAGGCGTCGTTTAGCGAAATAAGATGTGATCATTTAACGAGACAATGATAACAAACAGCCAACAAAAAACAACAACAAGAACAACAACAACCTCAAGCTACCACCAACAAGTCGTTTGACTAAGCACAGACCATCATTCACCCGGGATCATCCACTTCTGGTCTAAACAAACAATCAATTCCAGCAGCAGTAGCCCCACCACCAATCGGAAGACGACCAGAAACAAGCAGAAAAGGGGGATAGATGAGATCAGATCTTGAATATCTTCATTGTTGTCGTTGTCGAAATCCTGCAGAGCTTCATAAATGTAAATTAGAATTCATTTAGCACTAAGACTCGTAAATAAGTGGTCAATGGTTTGACAGACCCTTTTTTAACAATCACCACCACCATAATATAATCTTAGGGGATTTTTTAAATTATTTTTAATGCCTACCTTTGGGCGTGGATATAAAAAAATTATAATTTTATTTTCTAAGGTCTAGTCTACTTTGAGGCCTGGATTTTTTTAAATTATTTTCTATGACTTTCTTTAAAGCGTGAATTTTTAAAAGTATTTTTTAAAATTGGGTGGTGTAGGGCACGATAGATACCAAGCAACGGGTCTGATTGGCTTTAACATGGCGAAGTCCAGGCCTTGGTCCCTCTTTCATCTCAAATGTGGACACTGACCTCCCTGTGGTGCCACCAGGGATAGCTATTTTCATCACCCGATGAAACAGTGAGCTATTATGTGCCGCGAGTTCACCCATAAGAACTATAAAAAATGGGTTGAGGCGTCGGGTTAGTTGCACACACTCGGAAAACCGAACCTACTATGAAAAAGCAAAGACAAAGAAAACCAAACCCACCTAATGTTGACGAGCCCCGCAAACGTACAAAGGACCACGATCTGCGAATCTGCACTTGGAATGTGCGCACGTTGTACAGAACAGAAGCAGTGATCGCTTTGGCAGATGTACTCAAGAAGTACAAAGCCGATATTATTGCTTTACAGGAAATTGTATCGAAAGGGACAGGCTAAGTACATCAGACGACTACGCCCTGTATTACAGCTGCCATGAAACGAGACATAAATTTGGCTGCGGATTTATGGTTAACAGGAGAATAAAAGACCTCGTTTTTAGATTCACTCCTGTAGATGAGCGAGTTGTTATAATCCGTATAAAAGCGAAGTTCTTCTACATCAGTGTCATTTGCGCACATGCTCCGACCGAAGATAAAGATGAACAGACCAAAGACATATTTTACGAACGCCTAGAAACAGCATATGACCGTTGCCCTGGCCATGACATTAAAATTCTGCTAGGAGATTTTAATGCAAAAATCGGAAGGGAAAATATTCTTGGCCCCACCGTCGGAAAATTCAGCCTCCATGAAGAAACATCAGACAATGGCATGTGGTTGATTGACTTCGCGGCAGCAAAAAACATGGTAGATAGCAGCACCAGATTCAATCATCTCGATATACACAAGGCCACTGGGATTTCTCCCGATCGAACAACGAGAAATCTAATCGATCATGTTGTGATAGACAGAAGGCATTCATCCAGTATTTTAGACGTCCGATCGATCCGAAGAGCGAATATCGATTTGGACCATTACTTTGTAACAGCAAAGGTGCGATCTAATGTAACAAGGAAATTTGACGTCAAAAAGTTCTAAACACAACAGAGGAAAGCCCCCCTTGTCCCGATAATACTATAGAAGCACAGTGGCAGAGAATTGTCCACTCCCTACAAGCTGCAGCAAAAGCAACACTTGGGTACCAAAGACCACCATCAAGAAATCCGTGGTACGATCAGGAGTGTCGTAATGCTACTGATATGAAAAACGCAGCGTATAGGGCAACCCTGCGGACAGTAGCAACATGTAATGCGATGGAGAACTATCGGGAGAAATGGAGAGAGGAGAAACGTATGTTCAGAAATAAGAAAGAACAAGAAAACGTGACCGTGAGCAAATCAAGATGTACAGGAGTCAGAATGAAGTCCGAAAATTCTACCAACGATGAAGTCAGAATAGCAATCAATCGGCTGAAGAATAATAAAGCAGCAGGTGCCGATGGGTTATAAGCTGAACTATTCAAGACTTGTGATCAGATGATGGTAAGGAGCAGCACCAGCTGATTAGTACAATTTAGCTAGAAGAATGCATGCCCAATGATTGGAACCTCAGCATCCTGTGTCCCGTGCACAAAAAAAGGAGACAAGACGATATGTGCCAACTATAGAGGAATAAGACTCTTCCCATCGCATATAAAGTGCTATCCGACGTGCTGTGTGAATGACTGAAGCCAATGGTCAAAGACATTATTGGACCATACCAATGCGGCTTCAGACCTGGCAAATCCACTAGTGACCAGACTATAAAGCCGCATTCGACATCCCTATTCGTTCAGAGGTGTTTATAGCAATGTCTACGTTTGACATTCCTGCAAAATTAATTCGGCTATGCAGGATAACTATAAGTGGCACAAGATCAGCAGTTAAAGTCGGAAAGGACCTCTCGGAGCCCTTTAGTACCGAACGAGGATTCAGACAAGGTGACAGTTTGTCGTGTGACCTTTTTAACATCCTGCCGGAAAGGTCATACGAGAGGCAAAAGTGAACAGAAATGGCACTCTGTACACCAAATAACGCACCCTGTACACCAAACTACGCCGATGACATCGACATAATGGGTCGAACATTGCGAGTGGTAACATCCACCTTTGAACAAATCGAGAAGGAGTCTGCCAAAGTGGGTCTGGCAGTAAACGGCGAGAAGACGATGCTGATGGCATCAACGCCCAAGACGTCCAGTAGACTCGGATCAACTGTGGAACTTGAGAACTACAGCTTCGAGGTAGTCAAAGATTTTATATACCTTGGTACCGCCATAAACAAAACGAATGACATCAGTTTGGAAATTCGGAAAAGGATAGTGATGGCCAACAGATGCTACTATGGTCTGAGCAAACAACTCAAAAGCAAGGCCACCTCCCGCCAGACCAAATTCACACTCTACAAGACACTGATATTACCCGTGCTGGTATATGGATCTGAAGCATGGGTACTTACGCAAGCAGATGAAGCAGCTCTTGGAGTGTTTGAGAGAAAAATTATCCGATAGATCTATGTGCCGATCTGCGTTGACGGTGAATATCGCCGTCGAATGAACCATGAGTTGTACCAGCTATTCTCGTACATCGACATTGTTAGACGTATTGAGATGCAGCGACTATGTTGGCTAGGTTATGTTCTGAGAATGGATGAAGATGCCGCAGCCCAGAAGGCATATAAAAGTGAACCAGCTGATGGTTCACGCAGAAGGGGAAGGCCACGAATAAGATGGAAAGACCAAGTGGAATTCAACATTGCCAAATATGGTCTTTCAATTTCGAAAAAAAAACTGCGCAAACGACCGGCGGGCCCGAAAATCTTTTTTAAGCTTGGCTTATGGAACGAAAGTTCTGTCACAAGTAAGTAAGGATTTAAAAAAAAAATATATTTCCAGGGTCTAATACAAGGCGTGGTTTTAAAAAAAATATTTTTTCGACGTCTAATACAAGGCGTGCATTTTTACAAATTATTTTTCAGATTTTTAAAAAATATTTTTTCGACGTCTAATACAAGGCGTGGATTTTTACAAATTATTTTTCAGATTTTTTACAAATTATTTTTCAACAAAAGACCTTGATTTAAAAAAATTAAAAGTCTTACAAAAGACGTGATTTTTTATGTATAGTATATGTATAATTATAATACTTGTTTTTTTATTTAATTTTTTTTTTCAAATTTGTTAATTAAAAATAAATATAAAAACATGGTTTTGAGGAGTTTTGATTTGATGTGACCTCCTGAATTGCGGTTAATTTCGTAAACAATTCATCCATTTTCCTGTCGTTCTCTTTCATTGAATTGGCGATTATTTGAGTTTTGGTTACATCCTTATGGTACAACTTAATATCTTCTCTTGCCGCTTCCTGGTCCGTTTTCAAAGTCACTAATATGTCCTTTTGTTGGGACAATACATCGGTTTGATTTAGTGCCACATTTAATATTTTCACTAATCCTTCATTTATGGACTTCTCGTGAAGATTGATTTTCTGTACAAATTGTTGCATTTGTTTCGCAACTTGTTCGGCTACCAATTTATTTGCCTTATTTTGCAATTCTAATTGTGCCAATTGTTTGATTTTTTCATTTAACAGTCCGGCTTGTTTTGTCAAGTCCGCCTTTAGTTTGGCGATTTCTTGATTTTTTTCCACGGCGATCGGAGTTTCTTCACAAATGAATCCTCGCTTCTTAATACAGCGAACATCATTCCAATACATCGAGGGAAATATCATTTCGACACAATGTTCTTCGCCACTATTCGGTTCACCCTTGTTCCAGTAGGTGTATACAAATGCCTTACTATTCGATATCCATTCAAATGATCGATCCACCTTGAGATCATGGCCGCCTATCCAAACCTGACTGGCATCAGCTGGAATTTTTTATTATTTTTTTTTTTGTTTTTTTGAAAATCATAATTTTTTTTATACAACTTACAAAGTTTTGCGTTAGCCAATTGATGACGTTTAGAAGCCGAATCCACCGTTAACAGTGTCATTTTTAGACGTACACATTCACTCAAGGACTCATACCAGGTGTACTGAAAAAATTTTGTAGCGAAAGTGTTGGGAAAAAAATTGAAAAATATTCCAATACTACAAATTTCTTACCGCCATTGTGGTCTGTATGTAATACAAACGATCATCAGTAGTTTTAAAATATCGTCCATAAGTGGTTACCAAATACAGCCGGATAGCCAACAGGACCCATAGAAATGTTTTCCGATTCATTTCAATTTCACAACTGAAAAAAAATAAATTTTATTATTTTGTTATTGAGATATACAAATGGGTTTCAATAAAAATGTATATGTGATAAAGTGATTTTTTTTTCATATACATATTTATATATAAATGTACATGTGTACATGCATATACAAGATAAGAAAACAACGGAAATAAAAATGAAAAATAAAATATTTAAAGAAACTTACTTACTTAGCTGGCTTGTTACAGAACGGTTGTTCCATAAGCCGAGCTTAAAAAAGATTTAAAAGTGCGTGGGTCTTGTGCGCAAATCCACCAATTTGGAATACCACGTTCCAAGATGTTGTTTTCTACTTGGTCTTTTCATCTAATTCGTGGCCTTCCCCTTCTACGGGAACCATCATTAGGTGCATTCTCTTTCATTCGCACAACATGGCCTAGCCACCGTAGTCGCTGCAGCTCAATACGACTGACTATGTCGATGTAAGCGTATAAATTGTAGATCTCGTGATTCATTCGACGCCGATATTCATCGTCGACGCAGATCGGCACATAGATCTATCGGAGAATTTTTCTCTCAAACACTCCAAAAGCTGCCTCATTTGCTTGTGCAAGTACCCATGCTTCTGATCCATATAATAGCACGGGTAGTATCAGCCTCTTGTAAAGTGTGAGTTTGGTCTGGCGGGAGGTGGCCTTGCTTTTGAGTTGTTTGCTCAGACCATAGTAGCATCTGTTGGCCATCACAATCCTTCTCCGAATTTCAAAACTGATGTCATTCGTTTTGTTTATGGCGGTACCAAGGTATATAAAAATCTAAAATATAAAATCTTTAACTACCTCGAAGCTGTAGTTCTCAAGTTCCACAGTTGGTCCGAGTCTACTGGACGTCTTGCGCGTTGATACCATCAGCTTGGTCTTCTCGCCGTTTACTGCCAGGGGTCCACTTTGGCAGACTCCTTTTCAATTTGTTCAAAGGTGGCTGTTACCGCTCGCAATGTTCGACCCATTATGTCGATGTAATCGGCGTAGGCGAGAAACATGTGCTGTTTGGTGTACATAGTGTCATTTCTGTTCACCTTTGCGTCTCGTATGACCTTTTCCAGTAGGATGGTAAAAAGATCACACGACAAACTGTAACCTTGTCAGAATCCTCGTTCGGTATTGAAGGGCTCCGATAGGTCCTTTCCTACTTTAACTGCTGGTCTTGTGACACTTAAAGTTTTCCTGCATAACTGTATTCATTTTGCAGGAATGTCGAACGTAGACATGGCTTTAAACACCTCTGAATGGATAGGGCTGTCGAATGCGGCTTTATAGTCGACAAATTGGTGGTATGTGTCGATGTGTTTTTCGTGGGTCTTTTCTAGGATTTGGCGGCGAGTGAAAATCTGGTCAGTGGTGGATTTGGCAGGTCTGAAGCCGCATTGGTATGGTCCAATGATGTCATTGACCATTGACTTCAGTCGTTTACACAGCACACTGGAAAGCACTTTATATGCGATGGGAAGGAGACTTATTCCTCTATAGTTGGCACATATCGTCTTGTCTCCTTTTTTGTGCATGGGACACTGGATGCTGAGGTTCCAATCATTGGGCATGCATTCTTCTAGCCAAATTGTACTAAGCAACTGATGCATGCTCCTGACCAGCATCTGGCAACCAGTCTTGAATAGTTCGGCTGGTAACCCATCGGCTCCTGCTGCTTTGTTTTTCTTGAGCCGATTAATTGCTTTTCTGATATCATCTTGGCTAGGTTGTATAAACTCTATACCATCATCTATTATTGGTTCTAGGGTATCTTCTTCAATGCCACTATTTGATACCAGAAGCTTTTCAAAATGCTCCTTCCAGATCCTCAACACGCTGTCCGTATCTGAGCCTGCACCAAAGCCTTGGGTTTGGTGTTTTACTCGTTGGTAAAATTTCCGGACTTTTTTCTGACTCCTGTACATCTCGATTTGCTCACGCTCACGTTTTTCTTGTTCTTTCTTCTTTTTTCTGAAAACACGTTTCTCCTCTCGTTGCTCTATACGCTGCCTTTTTCACATTAGAAGCATTACGACACTCCTGATCGTACCATGGGTTTCTTGGTGGTGGTTTTTGGTACTCAATTGTTGCTTTTGCTGCAGTTTGTAGGGAGTGGGCAATTCTTTGCCATTGTGCTTCTATACTATTATCGGGACAAGGGGGGCTTTCGTCAAGCAGTTGGGTAAGTTGAGCGGAGTAGGCCTCGGCTACCTGTTGTGTTTGCAGATTTTCGACGTCGAGTTTCCGTATTGTGTCAGATCGCACCTTTGCTGCTACATTAAGACGGGTGCGTACCTTGGCTGCCACAAGGTAATGGTCCGAATCGATATTCGTTCCCCGGATCGATGGGACGTCTAAAACACTGGATGAATGCCTTCCGTCTATCACAACATCATCGATTTGATTTCTTGTTGTTCGATCGGGAGAAATCCAAGTGGTCTTGTGTATATCGAGGTGCTTGAATCTGGAGCTGCTAACTACCATGTTTATTTGCTGCCGCGAAGTCAATCAACCTCATGCCGTTGTCTGATGTTTCTTCATGGGGGCTGAATTTTCCGACGATGGGATCAAAGATATCTTCCCTTCCGATTTCTGCATTAAAATATCCTAGTAGAATTTTAATGTTATGGCCGCGATCATATGCTGTTTCTATGCGCTCGTAAAATATGTCTTTGGTCTGTTCATCTTTGTCTTCGGTCGGAACATGGGCGCAAATGACACTGATGTAGAAGAACTTCGCTTTTATACGGATTATAGCAATTCGCTCATCTACTGGAGTGAATCTGGAGACGAGGTCTTTTATTCTCCTGTTAACCATAAATCCGCAGCCAAATTCATGTCTCGTTTCATGGCAGCTATAATACAGGGCGTAATCGTCTGATTTACTTACGCCAGTCCCTTTCTTTCGCATTTCCTGTAAAACCATAATATCGGCTTTGTACTTCTTGAGTACATCGGCCAAAGCGAACACTGCGCCTGTTCCGTACCACGTGCGCACATTTCAAGTGCATATTCGCAGATCGTGGTTCTTAATACGTTTGCGGGGTTTGTCAACATTTGGGTGGTTTGGTTTTCTTTTTCATTGCGTTTTCATAGTAGGTTGGGTTTTCCGAGAGTGGGCAACTAACCCGACGCCTCAACCCAATTTTCCCCATGTGGCACCGTGGGGAGGTCAGTGTCCACAATTGAGATGAAAGAGGGACCAAGATAAACCTGGACTTTGCCATGTTAAAGCCAATTAGAGCTTGGTATCTATCATCCCCTACGCCACCCCATCCCCAACAACCACCAATACCACCATCGTTTCCACGACGGAGGGGTATACGATCCGAAACTACCCGAGTCTTACTCGGCCAACGTCTGTCACCTCAGCCCATTTTGTAAAAGCAATAGGGCTGCTACAACAACAACAACCAATACCACAATATTATTATAGGGGATTTTTTAACTATTTTTAAGGCATACCTTAAGGCGTGGGTATTAAAAAATTATAATTTTATTTTCTATGGCCTACTTTAAGGCTTGGTTTTTTAAAATTATTTTCTATGGCCTACCTTAAGGCGTGGATTTGTTTAATTATTTTCCAAAGCATGTATTTTTTAATTTCTATAAATAACATTTTCATTAAACTTTTTCCTATTAAAAAGCCTGTTCTTGCTGTTTGTTAACCAATTCGGATTTGATTTGTCCTTGCCTTTAAAAACGTTGTTTTTTTTTTGTGGTTGGTTTTTCAATTAATAAATTTTTGGGCTTTTATCTTATCAATTTTATGCAAATATATTTTTTGTTTGTTTTGCACATTGCCTATCCAAGAGCAAGTGTAAAATTTAAGTGCAATAAATATGCAAATGTATTTTTTTCACTATTTTAGTTGGCGTTGTTGTTCGTGTTCTTATGTCCATGGACAATTTAATTTTAAACATTTTAATACCTGCAACTTGTAAATAAGGCTTTGATTAATGTCTAAATAACAGCCAATGTGAATTGTTGGTAGTCAAGAGCAAAAAAGAAAAAAATCTCTAACTGGTAGAAACGCACAATTCAGGTCTCAATATCAGCAAGGGTCAAGGATTTGTTTGTTTTGAATTTTCACAGCATGTTCTCCATCCATACTCAAGGTTAAAATTTGGGGAATGTTTTTTAGAAAATTAGTTTTCAAGGTCTTTTAAAATGGCATAAATGGGGAGTTTTTAAAGGCGTGGATTTTTTATAGACCACCACGAGGAGGGGATGTTTTTATGCCCTCCACCATAGTATGGAGGGTATATTAGTTTTGTTTTCCGTTTGTAACGCATCGAAATATTCATTTCCGACCCTATAAAGTATATATATTCTTGATCAGCGTATTCTATGACGATTTAGAGTAACTTCGGGTAATGTGGACCACCATCCATAACTAAGAAAATGCTTGAAATATGTCAATGCCGCCTTGATAAATGTTTTCCTAATTAGTGAAAACAAACATCAAACTTTTTTAATAAATAATTGCAAAGTTGCAAATTTTGTAGTAGAAAACGTAGCTGTGATTGTAAAAGTGTGATTTGAAATTTTTTGGAAACAATAGTCGAACGTTTTTGCAAAATAGTCGAACACTTGTTTTTTTCCCGAATATAAAGAAGTTTTGTGGTTTTCTTGTTTTCTTTAACAAAAATATACGTTTATCCGTAATTACAATCGGTAATTTTTAAATTTTTAGTCATTTTTGAAGCCGATAATTATTTTTAAATAAAAATATTCAATGTCGGGTAATGTGGACCACTATAAAAATTGGGATCTTTTTATGAGGTCGAGTTCGAAACATGGGCGCATTTTATATGCGAGTAGGTATTATATCCTCTGAAAACTCGATATGCGAAATTACAGGGGCTTCGGTTGGGTAA